TCGCTGACGAACCTTGAATGAGCTGGCCGTACAGCGATCGAAATTTGAGAATCATCCAGACCACGGCGAGGCACTCTTTCTCGGTAGTCTAGTAGTTCTCTTTCCTGCGAGAGAGTGCTTTGCTGGCATAGGCTATCACTTCCTCGAAGTTATCTTGCCATTGTATCAGTACGGCGCCCAGACCTACATTGCTTGTGTCGGTGTGAAGTGCTGTTGGCGCTTCCTGGTCGAAGTGCGCAAGAACCGGAGGTGTTCGGTGGCATTGGCATAATTCGTTGAATGCAGTTTGTTCCTTTTCGCCCCAAAGAAAGGGGACATCCTCTCGTGTGAGCCGTTTCAAAGGCGCCACAATAGACGGAAAGTCGCCAATGAATCGTCAGTAATAAGCGCATAGTCCTAAAAAGCGTCTTACTGCTCTTTTGTCATGCAGTGCGGGAAACTTTGCGACAGCGTTGATTTTGCCCGGGTCAGGTCGAACACCTTCATGGCTGACCACGTGACCTAAGAAGCAAAGTTTGCTAAAACCAAAATGGCACTTCTCTGGTTTTAAAGTCAGGCCAGCCAAACGTATAGCTTGTAGAACTACGAATAAACGACTTAGGCATTCCTCAAATGTAGCTGAGAAGACAATAGCATCGTCTAGATCGACCAAGCATGTCTGCCACTTCAGTCCTGATAGCACGATGTCAAACGTTGAACAGTGGCTGGCGCTGAGCATAACCCGAATGAAAGAAATTGAATTCATAAAGACCGTCGTCACGTAGGCAGTTTTCTCATGGTCTTTCTCATCGATCTCTATTTGCCAATAGCCACTTCGCAGGTCCATCGATGAGAAATATCGTGCATGCCGCAGCCAATCAAGAGAGCCATCTATGTGTGAGAGTAGGTAGACGTGTGTCTTTGTGACTTGGTTTAACTTGTGGTAATCTATACAGAAACGCAAGCCGCCATTTTTTTTTACCAATACCAGGAGGGATGCCCAGGGACTTTTGAAAAGCTGTATTAGGTCATCTTGGAGCATCTTCTGAACTTGCTTTTGGATCTCCTCGCATTCTTTGGAGCTACATCATATGCGTGGTGCCGGATTGGTCTCATATTTTCTTCAACAATGATTCGGTGCCGGGTTAGTGGTGTTTGTTTGACCTTCGACGTGCACGAAAAACAATTTTGGAACTGCTGTATCAGCTCTAGTATGCGCTGTTTATCCGAGGGTGACAGGGTAGAGCAAATTGTCGACAGAAAAAGGTGTCGAGGCTGGGACGGTCGCATCATCCGGTAGCAAAGCGAAAGCAATCTCTGGCTTGGTCCACATCGTCGTAGTCGGCGATTGCGGTGCCCTTCTGGATGTGACGGCGCTCGTTGCTGAAGTTGGGGAGGAGCACTTCTGCCCGCCCCTCAGTTAGTGCCAGAATGCCTCTCGCTATGGAAACACCTTGTGTGAGCAATAGTGTGACTATTCGCTTCGCTATCACCTCGTCACGGCACCGCCATTCAATAACACTGACACAAGGCAGCAAGATCTCGGCGGGAGCATCACATCATCAACTACACGTAAACGTTGCAGTTGCTGTTGCTCAGTGGGTGCGGCAACGTAAAGATGGGCGAGAAAGGTGACGATACGTTCTAGAATGTTGATAATAGCACCGTACTCTTGCAGAAAATCCATACCCATAATTGGCTCTTTACAACAGTCCGGTAAAACGACAAAAGTGGCGACAAAGCTCGAATCACCGATTACGAGCCGAGTGGATGCATTTACTGGTTGGCGTCATTAGCTATCCACCAGCACTACTTACACTCGGCCAACTTCACGGCATCTTGACCTTCTCAAGGCGGTCGGCGAGCTCTTGTCGCATAATAGAGAAGTCAGCGCCAGTGTCAACCAGTGCTGTTACGTAGTGTCCGTCTATAATAACGCTAAGGTCGGCATGTACAATTCATCAGCATTAGTACCCGTAGTTGTCGTCGTCTTTGTCATCACATTCGTCATGTCGTCTTTGTGTAGAGGCAAGAGGGTCCTTTTGGCGTCTCGGCGATTGGCAACCTTCCTTGCCCTTGGAGGTCGCGGCAGTTAGTTTCTCTGGCACGGGCTTGGGGAGTGGTTTCTGACGGCGTCAGCGTAACTTTAGCGATTCGGGGAAGTGTGACCTCGTGCAGGTGAGGGAGACCACCAGCGACGACATAGTGAAAAAGCTTGGTTGATTGGCAGGTGATCAGCACCATGATCATGATGGTCTCCAAAATAAAATGAAGCGGGACGAGAAAAGTATCCAAACCGGGCTTCTCGATGACAGCAGTAGCGCGAGATGTGGCCTGGTTCGCCGCAGTGAAAACAAAGGGGTCAACGGTCGACAATGCGCCACAAGTCGGTCCGGCGCACTAGCGCACAGGTTCCCGCTGCCACCAAGGCAAGGTAAGCGGCTGTGGCTGAAAGGGTGCTTCTTCTGGTGCAGGCACATGACGACAGACAGCATCAGCATAGGTCAACGGACGTGGTTCAGGTGGTGACGCCGCTGATCAAAAGGTTTGCCGTAGTTCGTGGTGCACGATTTCTGCTACAGAAGCAACTGGAGGCTTGGTCGACGGAAGGCCGAGGGCCCGCAGTTCTTCGCGCAGGATTTGCCTTATCATTTGCCGTAGAGAGCTTTCGGAAACAACAGCGTTTTGAGCGGTGGCACCAACAGGCGTTTGTTCGGGCGAGCGGTCAAAGTGGCGGCATCGTTGCCGGAGTGCCCGCTCAATGACAGTCGCCTCTTTGATAAATTCATCCACTGTTGTTGGCAGATTTCGTACAAGGCCGGGGAAAAGCGGTTCCTTAACTCCTCACGTCGGGTCACAAACTTTCCTTGCCTCGAGCATGTCACGGTCAGCGTGGTGAAATAGACGGGCCATATCTTCGGCAAACATGGCGACACTTTCGTTCAGTTTTTGCACGCGGGCTTCAATCATCTGTTGTGCGAGATGCTGTCGGCCCGCACTTAGGAACGTCTCCAGAAGCTTTTGGCGGAAATTGTCCCAGGTTTGGAAAGTAGGCTCCCTGTTCTCGTACCATGTGTGAGCGCTATTTTCCATTGCGAAGTAGGCACGGCCAAGTTTCTCTTGTGCACTCCAGCGATTTACAACAGCGGTCCGCTCGAACTGGTCGAGCAAATCTTCAACATCCTCATACACTTCTCCACGGAAAACTTCAGGAACACGAGGAGGCTCAAAGGTTACCTGGGAAGGAAAGAGTCGGCTGGGTAGGAGGAAGATTTGCAGTCGTTGAAGGGGTCGCCATGTTGGTAAGAGGAGATGCAGTCAAGAGCCTGTGTACCGATTCAGCCTAGTACACTGGCTGAATCGGTGTACTCGAGTTGTAACAAGATGTCGAGGCTCCGGACTAGGTGTACGGTCCCGAACAACGCTTTCCTGCATCAGGTGGCAGACCCCAGCACCTCCACCTGTGTTGCGACGTTAAGACAGAGGTCGTATTTGAAGAAGCTGAGAAAGCAGCAGCGGGTCAATCTTTTTTATTTACCGCGCGCCAGAGAGTTCCTCGTCTTTCTCATTGCTTCCTGCATAAAAGCGTGCAGATGCGCACATGCACGGTCACCTTCGTCTTTCTTGCAGGACGCACGTGATAATAGGTTCACAGCTATGTGACCTGTCTTGGTACACAGCCACATAGTGCACAGCTACGTGCACTAGTGTAGGTACACAGCCTCGTAGTGCAAAGACATGCAGGTGCACAGCTACGTGCACCATGTAGGTACACAGCCACATAGTGCACAGCTGTGTAGGTGCACAGCTGAATAGGTTCACAGTTATGTGACAAGTTTTGATACATAGCCTTGTAGTGCACAGCTACGTGCACTAATGTAGGTACACAGCACGTAGTACAAAGCTATGCATGTGCATAGCTACATGCACCTATGTAGGTACACAGCCATGTAGTGCACAGCTGCATAAATGCTCAACTACGCAGGTGCACAGCTGCAGAGGTTCACAGTTATGTGACCTGTGTTGGTACACAGCCACATAGGGCGAAGCTATGCAGGTGCATACCTACGTGCACCTATGTAGGTACACAGTCACGTAGTGCACAGCTGCATAGGTTCACAGTTATGTGACCTGTGTTATACACAGCCATGTAGTGCACAGCTACATGTACCAATGAAGGTATGCAGCCATGTAGTGCAAAACTATGTAGATGCATAGCTACTTGCACCTATGAAGGTACACGGCCAGGTAGTGCACAGCTGCATAAGTGCACTGGTTTGTAGGTGCATATGTTGCTTTACAGATGCATAGCGGGTAGTTTAACGCTACTTGAAATTTCGTGATATGCTCCGCTGCGGTGGTGTAGTGGCCAAGGTACTCAGCTGCAGACCCGCAGGTCCTGAGATCGAATCCCAGCTGTGGCGGCTGCATTTTTGATGGAGGTGAAAATGCTATAGGCCCGTGTACTCTGATTTGGGTGCATGTTAAAGAACCCCACATAGTTGAAATTTTTGGAGCCCTTCACTATGGTGTCTTTCATAATCATATGGTGGTTCTGGGATGGTAAATCCCACATATCAATCAATCACTTTGGTTATATGGTGCATAGCTTCTGGAACCTTGGTGCAAATATGGACATTTGCACTGGTTGGAAGACTGCAAGACAGGACAGTATCTCTTCTGTTTCTCTATGCCTATGCGAAATTCTGTTTTTGCACCTGAACATTCCTCAAAGCATAGTGAGTGGTTAGTTACTTCTCAAAACGATTAATTATAGCTGTGTGGGCATTTCAGAACTGTACTTTCAGTAGGCACCTTAGGAGAGTTTGCAGTGGCTACTGTCACATGCATGAACGTTTCTCTCTCACGGCAGTAGAGGTGTCTGTTAGAAGTGAAGCAGGGCAAGTAAATGACCTGATAACGCTATCGTGTTCCACTCCTAAAGGCGATGCTTCAGCGCAACTCCCGTGGTTTTCTGACTTCCTTGTATCTCACTGTGCCTTCTTCTCCGTGGCATGCAGGTTTCAGCAAACAGCCAGTCGCGGCATGAGTTCGGTCTGGAAGCGACTGCAAAGGGTCAACAAGCATGCAGCCAAGTTCCAACTGGTGGCCTCCTTTCGAGAGCTGGTGGTCACCGGTAGCAGAAAATGGTACGTGTGTGCTACCGATTTCAAGTGCTTAGGCGAGACAAGTATTTGAGAATTTTTTTTTTTTTTTCACTCAGTTGAGCAGCGTTTTAGAAACTTCAGATATGAATCAGGGAAAGCAGAACTTATGATAACTGCTATGAACATGGGGACAGCAAGGTTAATCGTGTAACACTTATACTGTCATATTATGGTGGCAGGAATATCTATGTCCTTTTTTGTGAGCATTTGTCCCGTTAACATATAGGACAGCCATTCTTGTTCTTGTGTTCTCGTACCTATGTGCCTGAGTCACTCAACACAAGATGGACGATGTTAGGAGCGTCCCCTTTGAATCTGGGGGGGACTCCTCTAGGTGCTATGTTGTTTGTGCGAAGAAGTGGTCACCTCTGAAGTTCCTGCTCATTTCAGTTGGGATCATTACTGTAATGGAATGAAATAAAAAACTTTATTTTAATGGAATGAAAAAACTTTATTTAATCATTACTGTAAAAAAAGTTTTTGTTATGTGTGGATGGACAGATGGATGTATGAGGCTGTATGTACCCTTTTGATTGGATGACAACTTGCATTATCTATCTTCCTACATGCTTGCGTCACCTGGCGTATAAAAATGACCGCAGTGCCATCACTGACCTGTTGTCGTGGTTGTCATACCTGTCGAGTGCAAGGTTGTTTGGCGACACACGTGAATACTTTTTTTACCTTGCAAAAGTGCCTTTATTTGTGTTGCTTGTAGTTCTTACTCGCCATTGCTGTGTTGACTTCTTGGATAAGTCATCTGGCTATCCACAAAATGCAGCTGCTTGCGTGATTCTGTTGCTGTGTTGAGTGCGATGCTGGTGCATATATAGCCCATTGGTGTCATGATTGTCGGTTGTGCGGTCCACGGGTGTCAAGTTGAATCTTACGGAATGCGGTGTTCCATGGTTTGCTGCTGTAATGGAGGCTGGACAGTATGATACTGCTACATTGGGGTACAAGAACCAGCTGCTTTATTTTTTAGGGCTCGCACACTTGCTTCATTTGTGCTGATTACTTCGTTTTGACATTAGCACTTGCTCCGCTGTGGTGGTCTAGTAGCTAAGGTACTCGGCTGCTGACCCGCAGGTCGCGGGATTGAATCCTGGCTGCGTCGACTGCATTTTCGATGGAGGTGAAAATGATGTATGCCCGCATGCTCAGATTTGGGTGCACATTAAAGAACCCCAGGCGGTGGAAATTTCCGAAGCCCTCCACTACAGCGTCTCTCATAATCATATGGTGGTTTTGGGGCGTTGAATCCCACATATAAATCAGTCGACATCAGTGCTTCTCCACTACATGCGCCTTTCATAGAGAGATTTCTCTTTTGCATTTAGATAATGATTTATTTGTGTGTCTGAGACTGGTCCTGATCTGGTATACTCTTTCATTCTTCACAGGCAGCCACATAAGTTACTTGTCATATGGACACGGAGGGGACGCCGGGTGGCCACCCAGGTATGAGACAGCACAAATGTCTGTCGTCCATGCTTTCGCAGATCATTGTCAACCTGAAGGGGTTGGTTCATGCCCGCCCCAGGGAATCTGAATGCCCAACTGAAGCTAGGAGCAGTAACCGGGTTAAAAATCGAGCAAATGCGTTAACCTAAAATGGGAAAAATTGATGCCACTGTGATGACATACCACTGCCAACATACATAAATCATGGCCATAAATTGAATGTGCAACCAATTTTTGTGTGTTCAGCATAGGAAGTGAATGCAAAAATTATATTTATGCAAAGTAAAAATGTAATGGGTGTTCATGCTTTTTTTTTTAGTAAGAAAAACACTGCCTTGGTTCTGAAAGATGAAACCGGCATAGTTTACTTTCTCGGCATACATAGTTGCTTAATAACTTAATGTCAGTGTTGCGCATTTTCAGACAATATTACTGTCCATGAAGAACCATGTCGTTTTCATTATGGCCCATAGGTTCAGGTTAAAATACACAATAAATAGAACGTGGAAATGTGAAAAGACTTCAAAAGCTGAATATTTCACAGGAATCGAACCCAGGACCTTTAATATAGTTCAAAGATATGTTAAAGTAAAGAATGAGAAAATTTATTCAATTTCAATTACATTGCAAAAGCTCTGCCCCTTTTTGTGGCGCTTGCTTTAGGATAGTTAACCAATTTCCTTTTCAGCTCCACAGAACCTGAATACCGGAGCTTTCTTGCCACTGCATGCAATGTGTGCATGAAGACAAGGGCTGCGAATCAATTCTCTCGTCACTTCCAATGCAGGCGAGGTCGTGGGAGCCCACTATCCGCGATCCGTATCAAGGGCGTGTCGCCTGGCCCGTGCCGGAAAATGTGGAGGTGTCCGTCACGCTGTTCCGCGATCCAAACAGCAACGTCTTTGAGGACAAGGAATGGAGCTTTGTCATCGAAGATGTGCGTGGTGACGTGAATCATTCCTCTTTTGTGTGTTGCACCTAGTGTAACAGTAGGTTAATAGTATGGTTATCCATTGTGATTAGCTGACTGACCCATTGTGATTAGATGACTCTTCAATGACATGATTATGCCCTGTGGTCTAGTGTTATAGAAACCCCATTACACTGTATCACAATGTAAAGCTCTGGTTAAATGGCATAAGCAACTGTTAATCTTAGAAGATGACTGTGCTGGGAAAAAGGGTCGCATGTGGGGTCTGGCCAGTGCTTGAAATAGGCTAGCCAAGCAAGACTGCAAGAATTTTTTTGAGCTGCGAGGATGCAATGCTGCAATAAATGTGGAAATGTGCTTTTTGTTGCATCGTTACTGTGCAGAAAATCTTTCAAAGGGTCACCCTTGGAGAATCTAGAGCACTTGAAAGAAAAGGTGTACATTACATTTTCTTCAGCTACATTAAGGATAAAGAATAGCAGCAATGCCTGCTGCACAAGGCTTCAGTGAAGGCCTTCAAAGTTGTACTGTTTTGTAAAGGGTGCTCTAGCATTTTTGTTGTAATAATCAACTTTCAAATGTGTCAGGCTGTTTTAGCCTTGGCTCTCTTTATTCTCAATGGAAAGCATTCGCTTTTGTTGGTAATAGAACCACTGTTATAGTTTATCGTTGAGTAAAACACAGTGAAGGTGCAGTAAAACACCAACTCAAGGTTACGATCCTGAGAATGTGAGATTGGTATGGAATTATGAACTGAACATCACACGTAAGAGACTAGGACACAGAATAGGAACAGTGCTGTCTATGCTTGGGCAAGTATTCTAATACTTTGAGTATTTGAACTTGCTTTAATTTGAATTGAAAATATTGAAACTTTGAAAGTGTTTGAAATGAATAAGTAAATGTATATTAGTTCGTTTATAATCACCATAAAGGTGATTTCAGTTAAGTGGACGGGTGCTGAGCTGTGAAAGCAGCTTTTCAAACCTGTACTTTGCGTATAATGTTCTGCAAAGGTCGCTTCGCTGTAATGAAGAATTGTTAAGCCGTGAACAGACCTGTTTATTGAAAGTTTGCATTTTAGCGAAGCTTCAATTCAAGGTTAAATGAACATATGAGCCTCACATCGATTAATTTTGATGCTTTGAAGCTTCTTATACCAGCTTATGTGCTTAAGTATAACAAATAATAAAACTTAACATATTTTGCAGGTTATCACTTCTATTTTACCAAAAGTCAAATCCTGGTTCTGTTCAATGTTGTTTTTACATCCTTTGAACCAAATGAGTGGGGATTACACAGGCCTCGTTTTAATAATATATATATATATATATATATATATATATATATATATATATATATATATATATATATATATATATATATATAAGGGAAAGAAGTGTATACCTAAGGGCTCGTTTTTCCGTGTTTTTAACACAATAATAATGAGATATAACAGACAGTAATGCCAAGGAATGTACAGGGGAAGTTATTAACATTAATGGAATGTAAATAAGAAGAAAGAAAAGTGGATGAAAAAATTACCAACTGTAAGCAGGAATCGAACCTACGACCTTCGAATTACGCGTTCGATGCTCGAACGCGTAATTCGAAGGTCGTAGGTTCGATTCCTGCTTACAGTTGGTAATTTTTTTCATCCACTTTCTTTCTTCTTATTTACATTCCATTAATGTTAATAACTTCCCCTGTACATTCCTTGGCATTATATGTGCACGTTAGTTTAGTCATGAAAAATATGCCCATTTTTCTTTATAACTTCATGTACACTATTCGAATTTGATTCAAAATTATTCAACCAAACTTACTGTTCGCTGCAAACCTAAAATTCACTATTCACACAAACCTAGTGCTGTCACGTGTTTACACTCTGCGTATCTGTCATTTAAATGCACTGTTTGATTTGTAATTCTCAGGGTTCCTTGCAGGGGACATTACATGTAGGATGTAATAGAGAAGTGTAACAAGAACTGAAATGGTTCTCGCGTAAATTAGTTTCCTCAAAGACAGGTGCACAATACATGAGCATTGTGACTGGAAAAGTCACAATTCTTTGAGACTGGAAAAGTGATTGCAGACTAGCTTTGTTTATCTGATCACGAATGTGACTTGTCGGCGCTCCCGCAGATCTCGGCTCAGGGCAAGCGGCGGCACATAGCGGTCGGCGTGATCAACGTGGCCAAGTTTGCACGTCCCGAGCCAACACAGACGGAGGTGATGCTGCACTTGCGGCCGCTGACGCCAAAGTGCAGCGCGGCGCACTTGCAGCTCATGTTGTCGTGCAGTCTGCTGCGCGAAGGAAAGGCCACGTACGTCTTCTCACCGCTTCTGCTTGCAGTCAAACCTCCTCAATGATCTGAAATATTGGATAGAAAGAAGTGTGGGATATAAGAAATTGCTTGCATAGAACGAAACACTAGGTATTGCGAATCACTGGATATAATGAATTCCCAGGATGCAGAAAACTACTATAGACTCTCAGTGAATTGAAATCTCTTAAAAGAGATTACTGCTTAAATGCTGCCATTAACTTGGTTGGAGTCGTACTTGAATTCTTCGCCCTTGTTCATCTCTGTGTAAACAGAACATACTTTGCTGGTCTACTCAGGTTTCGATTTATGGAAGTCTTCTGTAAAAACAAAAAAAACTGTCCCACCAGTGTTACAGATTTTTGCTTATAACGAGTTTGTGCATGTACCGCATTCACTCGATCCTAGTAACACATGACATCTTGAGTTCTTTAAAAGCACACTCTTCTTCATGTGAAATGACCCAAAGTAAACTTGTGAGAAGTTTAGTTGATCAGCTTAACTTTCGGAGTATAATGAATGAGTGTGGTTATGTGGTTAAGTTGGTTAGTGTACATTAGTTAGTGCTGTGTGAACACGTAAGTGCCGAAAGAAATGTCCTGCAGTAAGCTAGGAAAGCAAAGAGCAATGCACACGAGCTCTCTTTGCTTTAGTTGTCCTCAAACCTTATTATACAAAAGTTGCATATTATGTGAAAATAAGTTCATTATATCTAGAAATTTGTTATAAAGATTGATACCTATCACTGTATCGATTGCAAGACTATTATTAATTTACCTACTCATAGGCAATACTTTGGTATATCCGGGAACGCTAGCTTGAGGGGTAAGTGTGCTTCACTTTGTCGCTTTTCTTTCAGCATTTACGTGCGTGCACTGCAAACATTTTTAAATTGACATAGCATTTCTTCTTTGTGCTTCAATTATTGTTGTAACCTTGTATGGTCGTGCGCAGAGATGAGGACATGCAGAGCATAGCGAGCCTGCTGAGCGCAGCACCCCTGGCGGCACCGGACTATGCCAACCTCGAGGACTTCGAAGAGGAAGCGTCCCCGCAGGCCTCGGCGCAGCTCTCGAGGCTGGCTGCCGACTGCTCGAGTCTCCTGAGCGCCGGCGACAGTAGTCCCGCGCCCTCCCCTGTCAACACGGAGAACGACCTCGGTGGGCAACCCCTTCCTGGCTTTTTTTTTTTTTTTTTTTCACGAGAAAAAAAACTGGAATTTTAAAGTTCTAGCAGCTGGAGGTATTCACAAAGTGTGATATTGCATAGTCAGTTAAGACCACAGAGCAAGATAAAAGAGGAGTGCCTACTCCACCACCGCCCTACGCATTCTCTCAGGACGAAGCGTACAATGCAGACACAGCAGCCTAACCGATTCTTTTGCGCTCCCATCCATTCCTCTTGGCGGTTTTGCTCATGCTTTCTTCTTCCCGGCGCCAATGGCAACGTGTAGCGCCTTCTGTTTAGGCGCATAGAAATCATTCAGTGCCGAGGCTGATGAGTGCATGCGCTGGTCGTGGAGACTTGTGATGGCATAGGCGGGGAGCGACACCCGGAAAGCAGATGACAAAATGGGTGGGCAAGTGGACGCAGCAACGTGTCTAAGCATGGCCGTGCACCGTCACTGTAGCAACGACAGAGAGAGGACTGAGAGAACCTCCGTTCGTGGCTCTGCTTGAGGACGGCCTGTCTCCTCTGCCACTTTGCTCCAGAACGGTGGGAACACGAACACAATCCGAATGGAGGCAGCTTAGTCTCGCATCTTGCTTTTATCAACATTCGTTCTTTTATTGAAGCAACAGTTTTCACAAATTACATATATCGCTTTGAATAATTATCGCAGTCACATATTACTGTGTAGTACGCTGAATCATTCCTTGTGGTACATCACTTCCACCATGTTGGGGCCCGTGAAGTGACGGGCAAGCGGTATTTAGTCTGACATGTCACTTTTTGTGGGGGCGCGTAATGTTGCAAACGTTGGCAGATGAATCGTGAGCGCCCATTGCATGCATTTCTCTTGCTTGCTTGAAATGCTCAACTCTTGTGAGGGACTCTAAGGTGTTGAGACAGATGGGAAATTGATTTTGTGCTATTAGCTCCCGTTAATATGAAGCTAAAAAACTCTCCTGCTCTTTTAGTGGTCTGCTCATTTGCTCCTGTGAGGCCCTTCTCAACCATGGCAAAAAAAAAGAGACTCGGGAGTGGGTTTATTCGACGATGGACACTTACTTCACTTACTGTGCTAGTGAATAAAAGAAGAGACTGTGTTGAGCAAATGGAGCGGGAGAAAGGACAATTGCGTGGCTATGCTAAATTATTGGCGCCTTTGTGTTGTCATAAACCATCTTTTTTTTTTCCTGTCCTTGACATGTCTTTCTTCGAAAATTTGAACTTTTGTAAAAATTTATCATGCCTACGTTTGTGATATTGGGGGCCTAGAACTATGTTCTGCCTGCCCACTTTCGGCACCTAAAATTCAACAGCCTCTAGTGATTACTGCTCACAAGTGCAGCTCACTCTATAGTGTTTGTCTACTCCAAAGCTCTGTAGAGGCACCCAGTGACTAGAAGCGCATCTGATCGAACGCTGCACTTAATTCATGTCAGCTATTTGCCTATAGCATGCCACCTGCTGTTTGACAGCAAACAACAGGGGCCGGCATCACTTAAGTGAGTGAAAACTGGTCTCTGCATGAAGAAAGGACACATGAGAAAAGAGTTACTTCGCGCTCCGCTCTCTTACAGCACAGCGACAACATTTGGCTTATGTGTCTGCTATCCACAGGATGTGTGTTTTGACCAAGCCTGAGTGATGGTTCGTGGACTCTCTTAAGAGCAGCACGTTCCTTTTGCTCTTCTTTGTAGACCTGTCTCTGCGGAGCCCATCCGCTGCAGTGATGGTCGTCCAACCACCGCCTCCGCCTCCTGAGCCTCCTGAAACCGACATAAACCTGAGCAAACAAGCTGAAGCCATGGCCGAAAGCTGGGAAGCACCATCGGTGAGTCAGACTTGTCCAGTTGCTGCAGTTGCCTGCCTTGGTAGCATAGCTACTGTGGGGTTTTCACTTCCAAGCATGAAAGTGCAGGTTTTGTTGTGGGCCAAGGCAGCCATGTTTCAATGAATGGTAATGCAGAAATGCCAATGTTCCTTACTTACATGAAAGATAAAAAAGTATTCGTATGAAAATTTCCTGTGGCCGTTCTTGTACCTCAAGTTAAAGACCAAGCCCTGAAGAGCCTAGAAAGTGTGCTGGTTAGCGTTATTGCACCTAGAAAAATTATTGATGACATGTTTTTAAAAGCTACCCTCTGTCCTTACTGCACTTGCGACAAGTCATGTGCTTGCGTTAAATATAGAGACATTTCTATGGCTGCTCTGTTTCATGGTTATCTTGGCGACACAAAAGCGGCCATTTTATATTTTCTGGTACCTCACAACATTGTAAAAAGCTGTAATGGCATGTGAAGTCACCAGAAATGGTACAGTAGCATGGTGACATACTAGTGTCACTTTAGTACCAAAATAAAATATACCGGCTTTTACAGAACACCGCGCTTGCTCAGAGGCAACTATGTATACAGGATACCTGTGTGATGGAGTAAACTCAGCTCCGAAAATAAGTATCAGTACCCATAAGAAAAGCGAGGGATGGTCAAAACTAATCCAGAGGGTTACGCTATGGCGTGCCTTATGGAATCCTGATTATAGTCTGCAGAACCACAGAAGTGATTCTATAGATAAAGAAAGTTTAATGGTTGTGGAAGGTGTGAACGTGCGACACTGTCAGGAATTTATGCAGAAAGAAAAAAAATGAGGAGGCCCTTAAGCTTTGCCATTAAAAGTTGAACGCGACAGGGATATTCTGTTCCTAGTGTGCACTTCAAACATTTAGATTATGAAATTTTTTCAAGTTGCTATGCACTCACTACATGACCTTAAGGGTGCAGTAATGTGTGTGCCTTTTGTAATAGGTTACTGGCTTTAAACCATGAAGTCATTGTGATAATCCCATTTTCCGGGGTGCGATGACAATGTACGCTTGTACCACACATTGTTACGACAATATTTAATGTATTGTGAAGTATGTATACGGGGTGCGTGTTCGTAAAGCATGAAAGTTGCTTTCACTGCAATTCCAAGCAGAGGAAGTTACTTTCACTGTATTCACAAGCAGAGGCACAGCTGTGTGGTAGAACACCCACTTGCCACGCAAATGACCCAGGTCCGATCTCCACTCAGACCCAGAATTTTTATTATTTATTTTATTTGCATCTTTCTCGATTTTTCGGTCGCGCAAAGATGCAGGATTTTTCGCTCTCAACCAATCGCGCTGCCACTGACGCCAGAATTTACGCGCAATGAGCTCTTTAACGCTATTGGATTAAAATAAATGTAGGTAGTACTTCGGCTGCCATCTTGTGACAATACAGGTTACCATGTACGACAAGCTTCACATGCGGACTCCTGGCGATGTCTTTTGATGGTGAGCAACAACAAGAGTAACTTGAGCTGGTAGTCTGTGCAAAGAAGTTTCAGTGACCTGCAAAGTTGGAGACGAATTCATTGCTGAAAATGTCTCTGTGGTTTGAAAACGGTGTGTTGCTTGCAATTATGTGCTCCTTTAATTCGGTTGCCGCCTCTGTAAAACTTAACTAATTTAGGCTTTTATGTGTGTGAATAATTGAAAATTTTATACGTTATATCAGCTAGTGTGCTTAAGGGGGGAGGCTACCATCGGATACCAACTTTTTTGTTTATTGAGATATCTTAATGAAATTTTCAGGATAGACTTATAGCAAAAGCATTAGAAGAACTACAAAATTTCATCAAGTTATGTTCACTGGTTTTCAAGTTACAGCAGAATATCAGGGTAGTGCACATGGTTCTCTTATTCCAGGCCTGGAGAACTTTCAGAAGGTGCTGGAACTGTGAAATTAACTATGATGATTCCCAGATTGATACTCCAGGGGGTAACAGAGCCCTTTTTTGAATTTCCTTGCTGAAAAGTTTTAGCAGACCATCAAACTTTGTGTTCGTGATTAGGATTTTATCAATCAAATTTTGATTAAATATAATAAATAACACACACAATATATTGAAAAAATGGGCTTGTCACCCCCTCAGAAATTTATTCATGTACATAATAAAAAAAGACTTATGGAAATCCAATGAGTGGTTCCAGAGATATGGCTGGAATAAGCAGCCTCACTAGCCAAAAAAGTCATTTTGAGAAAACGACGTTTGAAAGTTTTGAGCACATAGGCAGTTCTAAAATGAACCTGCAGCGTAACTGGAGGTGTCCTTTGGCACTCTCTTTCTTTGCCGCCTTTCCATCTTCTCTAGGGATCGCTTCTTAGCCTTTTTCAAGCGCAGAGAATCTTTCTCGGCTGCCCGTTGAATGGCCAGGTGGCCAGGTGTTAGCCCCACTGATGAAGCTAGCTCTTGGGTGGCCCTGTAGCAGCCAGCATTGCATCTTAGCACTGCATCATGCAGTGCTGTCTCCACAGCAATCAGTGACGCATGCTGCTCTTTGGGCATGAGGGACCACAGCACAGAGCGAAAGGACTCTGATGCATTCTGCGTCTTTGCTCCCAAGCAGCGTTGCAGAAGAGAAGCCTGTGAGAGCCTCTCATAAATGGGTAGAAGTGCATCTGCAACATAGTGTGGCAGCTTGTACGAATGCTTCGGAGGTGGAACACCGGTAATCTTGCTGGCATCGTGACGACACCACGAGTCTGCACCCTCTGGGCGCAAGTCGTGGTGCGGCTTCTCATCCGTCGACGTCACATGGTGGTATGATGCCATCACTGCCCGCCGCATTGCAGCCACATCATCGGAATTGTTCCGTAGGGCCCAGCCATAATAATCTGTCAACTTGTCGATGAGGGCCTTTGTCAGCCTGCCCTTCCCTCCCAAAGCCTTGTCACTTTTCTGCACAAGGTTGCGAAGTGCAGTCCCCATCCTCTTCTGAACGTGGTTCAGGCATTCCTCTTTTGAAATGGGGACCAGTCCATAAACATTTTCTTGTACAAGGGCAGAAAAGGTGGCACTATCTCCATCAGACACGAGCGTTGTGTAACGGAGGTTGTGCTTCGACAGTGAGCGTGAAAAAAGGATGATAGCTGCCTCAACCTCCATTCTCCCTGATTTAGAGACGGTGTTTTTCTGGCACACATGATTCTCCAGCCAGCATGCATAGTCTGCGTCTCCAGGCTTTGGCCCTACTTGGCAACCAAGGCACTGATTAGACAGAACAACGGCGTCCAAGATAAGGCCCGTATGGTATTCGATAATTGCCCCGACTCCAATATGTGATGTGTGCCCACGCTTGTGCCATGTTCCATCATAACAAACTGTTATATCCCTGGTGAAATATTGATCCATTTCTTTGTAAGTGGCTTTTACAGCAGAAGCAGATTCTGCATAGAAATTTTCTATGCATTGTGTCTGCGGTTCCCTGAATTTCTTCAGGTGCTTCTGAAAGGTCTTGTGATGGAGGCCACGATGGGACACGTTCATCGCTGCCCAAAAGTCGTTGAGAGCTGTTTGTCTCTTGCCTATTTGTTTTGTTGCCATAATGGCTTTTACATTCACATCAAAGGCCTTTGTGTCATCCTGACGAGATGAACTCCATGAGCTTGAAACTACTCCACAATGCAAGCATACTAGCTCAAGCTTTGCAGCATGTCCAAGTTGGGTGCCTCCTCGTACCTTCATCCCGATCGCGGTGCACCGGTGGCACGGGGTCCGAGATAGCAGGTCGTCTAGGGCATCCATTTGCACAAGGAAAAATTTTTCGCCTTCACTTGTAGCGGTGGCAACTTCATGATCGCGCTCCATTGCCTGAAATTTCCGCTCCGTCGCTGGCATAGCGCCAAGTTCTCTTTGCACAGCAGCGCGTTGTTGATCCGCCGCCTCTTTCTCCTCGCACGTCAGGAAACTTGTTCGCAAATGCACAGTTGACGACGCGATCGCACTCGAGGCCGATGAAAGAGAAGATGCGGAAGCCACTGTCAATGAGCACGAGACACCAGGTGCATTTGTAACGACAAATTCTTGCACCGGCGGAGCAGGAGTCCCGTTGCTAGGCGCGTCGATGCGACCACTCTCTTGCGTAGATGAAGCAGAAGCTGCCCCACAGGTACCGTCAGTGCGATCACCGTCGGCGAGCGGAGAGCCTCGCCGCGCGGACAAGCTTCATAGCTCGCTTCCTTGCACCGAACGATTGTAGCGTCTTCTTTTTCGTTGGGCGCATCGTGAGCGAACACAACAACGGTCTCGTATAGACGGTTGAAGATCGTTTCGAAGACAGTTGAAACGTGGAGAGTATGCGCACGGCTGCAACGATACACGGAAGCGAGCGGAACACAAAGACGCCGGACGGAGGAGCAGCAGACGAGCGGCCGCATCGGCCGCATTATGCGCAAGAGCGCTACGTCATCGCGCGCAGCAGCCAATGGCAGTCGCGGGCTCCCCCGCGTCCTTGGGGAGCGCGCGCTTCGCCCAATTCCAGCTGCGCGCCTCAGCCGCGGGAAACTTGAAAGCTCTCGCGAGCCCTCCAATCATGAGCGGCTTGCTCCTCTCCTGCGCTGCCGCCGGCGACACAGGTGGCGGGGAAAGAAAGAGCAAGAATTCACAAACAAAACAACACCAAAATGGCGGCGCTCCGTTGAGCGGTCGAGAAACTGCGATCACGCCAAGTTGGGGTAATTTTAGCGCTCGCGCACCGCTCGAGGGCCGCCGCGGCATGTTCTAAACTTTTATTTCAAATGGTTTCGCGACGAATTAGACGTTGATATTTACAGAAAAGGTAGTTTATGATACATACTGCCCGAATATGTGGTTTGCCAAAAATCGACTTTTTCGCGATTTTTCGGTTTTCAAAGGCCACGTCCCCCCTTAAAATTCACTTTTTGAGTCCAGTAGTCACTATCATAAGTAGTAGTATAGATATTTTTCATTGTTAATAAATATTTTTAATGTGAACTTAATGCAAGTATGCACTAAGCTGGTGCGAAATGAGTACAAGTTTTTTTACTGTGTGCATAATATAGTCATCATCCTCATCCTCAGGATATCACCAGTTATTGGCTTTTCGGAGAATGGTACATGTCACACATGTGGAACTAGCGAAGTGGCTAGCCTGTTAAAAATCCCATGAATTACTGATTGACAACTTTTGGCGGGTACCGTATTTACTCGTATAATCCTCGCACTTTTTTTGACAGAAAACTGATGCAAAGTTGGGCGGTGCAAAAATTATGCGGGGAAAACATTTCACGAAAACGTACAGAGCGTTCCGCTAGTCGTGGCCGCAAGTCGGTATTCTCACAGCAGCAACTAACAGCAAGCTTTGAGAAGTGCTAATTAAGAGTTACCTCAACAATAAAGCACAGGTTGACTACAAGGCAAGATTTATTTGAGACACAAAAAGTGCAAGCAATTAGTTGAGAATTAAAATACCATACGCAAAGCTTGTGGGCGTTGCAGGCGTAACGGTAGTGTTCGTCACTTAACAGGAGTCCGAAAAAGGTAAGTGAAAGACGTCAGTATTGAGTTGATGGCCGTTTAACAGAATCGTCTGCAGTTTCCTTCTGAAGAAGTAAAGTTTACCATCAATGGTAGGCACACGGAAGGCCCAATACTTAGGCACACGGAAGGCCCAATACTTCTTTATAGCTTTCAGCTGCCGTAACCAGTAGCGAACACAAAACTCGTCTACTTCGAAGGGCCTACCGGCGGCCCTGTTGCCGTTGTTTAGTGCATGATCCATCACTTTCAACTTGAAAGCAGCCGTGTAGCTTCCGTATCGCCCCATAGCGTAACAATATTACAGACACAACATACAAATCACACCACAACACGCAATTGCCACTTTGGCTTGGATTCAACTGGATTGAATCTTGGTGAAATAATAGTACGCTCTATGCTTAGGAGATGGCGCCAGACGGTGCATGCTATCATCATCAGTGGCTGGAAAGAGCAGACGACATTTTTGCAACAATTTTCGGGGGTGCGATGATTACTCGAGGAAAAAAAAAGAAATCGTATTTTTGTCGGGCGATGTGGGGGGTGCGAGGATTACACGAGTAAATACAATGAGTGTGTTCGAACTAGCCGAACAACAAGTTTTACGAAATTCTGTTCTTTAGTGCCAAAGTGGTCAGAAAATTCTATTTCATGACTGGTGCTGATCATTGATGTGGTTGCTTGTCTAACAGTCGTCTAAAACTGACTATGTTGTCAGTGACATTCCAAGCGGCACATGCTGTACACCGCATTCACTTCGGCACCTGTCACTCTAGATTGAAATTCGTTTCCCTCAAAAGGAAGAATGCGGGATGTTTCGTTTGACAATGGCTGCTTTGACTCCATGCAGACGTTTCGCATCTTTTCAGGTACATTTGCCATTAAACGATCTGCGTGATATGCTTGTTTGTTGTTTGTGTTGCGTATAGCAGTGGGGGGGTGGGACAGTTTTAAACTGGTTTGACTGGTGCACTTCGCCATTCCGCACAACAGGAGCCAGGTGAGGACTTGCTGACGTGGAGCCAGCGCATGACCGAAGGCTACGAGGGGGTCAGGGTGACCAACCTGACCACCTCCTGGCGAAACGGCATGGCCTTCTGCGCTCTCATACACAGCTACCGCCCTGAGCTCATCGACATGGACTCCCTGTCACCCCACGACATCTCGGGCAACTGCAAGAAGGCAGGTCTTCCCCTATTGCATAATCGCTGCTTATCCTGGCGGTCTGTGTCACCTCAAGACTGTGTAAGCTTCTTATGCCTGATGTGCCATCACTTGATTCAAATGATGGGCCTATACAGTTCATGGGGGCATGGATGCGGCGGACATGCGGGGATATTAACGTCCTCAAAAGTTATCGGATTGTCTACTTTCTTTACCCTTTGTTAGTACTGCGACTTAATTTAAAAACTTGTAGTTATGACCCCCATATCATTGCTTTGTCATAATCACTTGTTGTCCTTCATACGGTTGTGTGTAACTAACAAAAAGATGGGACCATTGATACTCTCTCTTTGCTTCAATCTTTGCGTCTAATGTAAGGCGTCTGATGATCAAAGCCGTCTTCGCTGGCAAGATCTGTGACGGGCCTAATCTCGCTTCACAACAGAAGGACTTCGATGCGAAGGTCTTGGGGTGGCATGCAGGCGTTTGAGGCGGCGGCGTCTCTGGGAGTTTCTCGGCTCCTGGATCCGGCCGACATGGTTCTCCTGACGGTGCCGGACAAGCTCGTTGTGGCCACGTACTTGCACCAGCTGCGACAACAGCTCAATGCACCCCCCGAGCTGCAGCGACCCCTGCACGACGCGCCGCGGCCGTCTCCGATCTCTTTCACGGCCAGCGACGAGGCCGCGTCGACGCCTGCAGAAGCAATAACAAACTTCGTACGCACCTCTACGTAAGTCTACCACGAGTAGTTGTATTCCTGATGGTCCAAAAGTTGATAGGTGTGAGCTATGCTCAATGGCAACCTAAAAAAATGTCGGCTCCACCCGAAGCCATCTCTGTCCCTTCCACAGAGAATTGGCATAAAGGCTTCTCACAATAGCGCTCCCTCATTTTCATGATGTCAAATATTTTACGCCGTGTTATCACTTGCTGTCAACTGTTTCAGACGATTTACATTCCTAAATACCATTCAGGCACAAATTATAATGCACTGTCTCTGAATGCATCAAATTTGCATGGCGTGATTCCAAGGCACTCATTATTACATTCCAGGAAAGTAAGTGAAGAAGTGTATTTTGTGTGAGATATAGCAACTAATGTTAATCAGCATGTAACTAAGAATTTCATTATTTTGCCATAAGTCAGCTTCAATCCTTGCATAAGAAGAATCAAATATTAGGCCCTAAATGCACGCACAATTCATTTTGTAGCTGTATATGTTTCGTGCAGAGAAAAAAAATATTTGACCTTAGTCCTGAAACTGCGCCACGTTGAACAGTCGCCAAACATGGCAGCGTCTCCAGTGAAATTATCCTCTGCAGTAATACACCGCACAGTGAAGTAAATTTGTCAGCTACTTGTTCACTCAGGAAGCCTGTGCAAATGTGCACACTCTGTTTCAAGCCATTTGAACAAAGACGTGGTGCGTGGTGCCTCTGACGTTTAGGTGTACAATAGTACACACGACCACTGAAGGAGATATAAACACTATCTGAGTTGCTAGTATTCAGTCGTATACTTCTTGTGGGATTCGAAAATCGCTGCTCAGCCAAGCAGAATGTTTTACTTAGTATCGAAAAACTTTAAATGATCAATCTGCATGGTATTTACATTAGCTGAGAAAAAGTACTTAGGGTTTGAGGGGAAACCAGCTGGCACAGTCGTATTTCACATGTGAAGGACTGGTGGGCTGCAGTTTTGTAGATGGAGCTTAAGATCTCTCAAGCTGGAATTCACTCCAAGGCTCACTGTAAAGTTTGGAATGAATGGCATTGTGTCCAAGAAATATTTTCGTGTTTGATAGCCCTCATATTGTTGCAGCTATATATGTGTGGCCTTAACTATTGTTGGTTCACGAGAAATTGACGCTTCACTTGAAGCTGAGAGATACTGCAGTAACTGCGCATCAGATTACATAACAGTTACGCATGTCACATCCAGGGTTTTGTGAATATTCAAAATTTTGAATCTGAATATTTCATAAGTGAAAGATATTCAATTCGATAGATCCATATTCAAATTATTCTAAACATTTGGCCTTGGGCGAATGTGGTGCTAAACAGGCGAACGTTCTGACGTATAACTTATGCCTCAATATAACGAAGTAAATGAAAAATATTCTCCAACAGACACAGTGTTAGGAATATGCTCTTATAATAAATTTTCAGATATAACCAACTTATTTTCATGTAAGATGCAACTTTGTTGTAATGAGCTTTGAGTGCATTTTAATTTTGGAACAACTAACGACTTATGAATGCTACACATTCTCATTTTGTTTAGCAAAACATTGCTAATGCATTTTAGTGCACTTCTATGCTATGGCATACTGCCAGTCATTGCATGGCTATGCTGTGTTACCGGCAATAAGCTATGTTTTACGGCAGTCTTTGAGAAATATGCTTGATGCATGCATTGCCTTAGGACTCAGCTTCAGCCTTTTGTCCCACACGGCCAGTTACAGGAGTAGTTTCCCTCAGAAGCCTGTGCAGTACCTTTATTCAATAACTTTATTTGGCAGCATGCATTGTGCCTTTGGGTTTCGTGAATAGATGCAATAAAATAACCCTTGAGCATATTACAAAAACGATGTTTAGATGCACATACACAGGTATGCCTGTAAAATGCAGACTATGGTTACTATTTACTTTGGGACTAATTTTATGCTTTCAAATGTGCAATGTTCTTTGAGGACATAGTGCTCACTACTCCAAGAGTGATATTTTTACTCCTTTAAAAATGTCGGTTTAAGGTAGATAGGGCTTTGAAGAAGATGAAAGACAACATGCCTGTATAAATGTGTCCGAATCCTGCTGTTTTCCAGAAAAAACAAAAGATTTTCGGGCCGCTCACTCGACATCGTCGTCCTTCCCTTTTCTTTTCATTTTCTTCACATTATATCTGCTGTTATGTAGTGTAAAGGATGTTGTGTTATGATTTTATGTGGTGTAAAGCTGTGATATGTAAAGGATGTGGTATGCCCTTCAAATGAGCATCACTCTACATGGATTTTCTCGTCTCCCAAACAGCATTCGTCATAGGTCCTAAATGCCTTTTCATTTATACTGTGCACGCAACACTTATCGGCTGTAAATTTGACGAACTTTATTTTGCATAATGTAGTGTTGTTGATAAGAAAGGAACAAGTGCAGTGTTTTTGATAAAGGAAATGCTTGCCAGACGAACAAAAATCGGTTTAATTGGAGTCCAAAAAATATGCCAAAAAGTCACAAACACTTTTTTTTTACGTGCATACTTTGCACTTACAAGCAGCAACAGTCAACCTAGGCACCTTTCTTGTTTTTCTCGCAGGCCTGTAAGTAATGCCAGCAATGTGCCTTCTTCCCCTATGCCGGCAGACACCCTCCCCACCGAAGAGCACCTAAACAAACAAGGCTCGAACGAAAGAATACCAAACAAACGCCGGCCGTCAACGGAAGGAAGTCCAAACAGAGAAGGCTCCGCGGAACAAAGTTTAAGCAGGCAATCTTCGACGGAGGAAAGCTCAACAGGACGAGAGTCGAGGGAAAGAAGTGTAATAAAGAAGCAAGGGTCGGCGGAGAAGGTCGTAAACAGGCAGGAGTCGGCCGAGAGGAACTTAAAGACGCAGGACTCCGCGGAGAATAACGCGAGCAGGCGAGGCTCGACAGAGAGAGGCTTAAGCAAGCGGAACTCGTCCGAGAGGAGCCTTAGTCGGCAAAGTTCGACAGAGAAGAGTTTAATGGAACAGTCGTGGACCGAGAGGATCCTTAAAATAAAGATTCCTGTGGGTGACAAGTCAATCGGGAAGGATTCGCCAAAGGAATGCGAGTGCCAAGACAAGTCCCACTCCAAAGGAAGGTGCACAGATGGGGCCGCCGTTGATGACGCGGCAGCAGCTGATGAACCCTTTCGACTCGGATGAAGAGGACACTGAGAAGACAGGTGAGAAAGAAAACAAAACGGCTTCCAAGGACTTGCATGAGTATTGCAAGTTGGTTTGTTTGTAATGCAGTAAATTTGTTTAAAACACTCGATACATCGATAACCAGTCGCAGCATAACTACACCGCTTAAGCGTTGATTGTTGGGAGTGCCTAATTGCTTAATGTTGGTTGTTGATACGTGTCATTGATTGTTTTTTTTTCTTTTGGTACTAGAGTGATGGAACTGGACTCTGTCGTTTTTAGCAGGCAGTGCTATGTAGGTTGAAGAGACGTACGTGAATGCTAGAATTTGTGAGCAACAAGTAGTGCCTCGCATATAAAGAGAGATGTGGACATGGATCGTGTTATTCTCTGTATCGTTGTGTCATGCTTTTATGACATGAAATAATAATGGCGTAAGTAATTCATGGTAAATGTTACCAATTCTTAGCCCCTTTGTGACAGCATAAGCGAAGTGACAACTCCGTAACCAGTGGTCATGCGTTGACATCAAGCAGCCAGAGTTGTTATGTCATGTACATGAAATGTCTTGCACATAAAAATGAACTGCGCTGTAAAAGGCACGGATAGAGACTTTCATGACTGCAGTACATTTGAACTTATAAGTGACAAACGCCGATGTCACAAGTTGTCGATATAACAAACCTAATAGAAAATTGTCTTTTTACTTTTGTATTGTCAAAAATGTATGTTTAATTTTTATCGAAAAAATATATTTATGTCTTGTGACAAGTTCTGACTGGCAGGATAGCATGACAGTAGCAACAGAATGTACGTAACGATATAAGGGAAAATTGTGTGGGCCGTCGTCGATCTGACAGCTGTTGAAAAGCGTCACATAACACAGTGATACCTTCTTGCATTCAATTTCATTTGCCTTTAATGTCTGGCCGTGTGCATTGATGATAGCGTTTCTTCCTTTCGGATGACGTAAACCGCACCGTATCGTGAAGGCGTGGAGACGCAAGAAACTGTACCTGAGAAGACGGAGACGCGCGTGCCCTGTCGAGTGCTGGACCTGTCGCCGACGAGGCAACCCTCGCCTCCGGACGCCCTCGTGTCACCGCTCATCGATCCCAAGAAGGCAAGTGTCACTGTGAGTGAGCCTCGCTGATGTGCGATTTCCTATTCCTGTTCTTGAAAAGCGGCCACGATTCGTTCGCAATTGGGCAAGGGGCACCACATTGTAGAACGGGGGTCGCAAACTCACCTCGAAATAGCAGGCCACAGTCACAACATTTGGTCACTCAAGGGCCGCGACAAGGAAGCAGGTGGGAGCTGGGGGGTGGAGGGTGCCCGATTTTACGGACGTTTTCGTGGTCCCTTGAGGGTCCGTTAATCGGACGCTGACTGTATATCGAGCAACGGAGACCTAGTAACGTTGAACGCCATGGCAGTCTGTGCAGCGGAGCAAACAGGGTACAAAAAAATATCTAATCATGGCGAAAACGACACATGTGTAAACACCCGAGAAAATGGAAAAAAAGAACAAACTCTCTGCTGGCAAAAGCATGCGTAACACTCCATAAAAAACTAATTAATGGCATTGACATGGCAGCGCTAAACCCAGGTATCGAACCTCCTTTTGATCAAGGGCACAGGCGGTTTACTCGTGCTCTTTTACCCCTCCCTTTCAGTGTAAAGTGCCGCCATCATCTCTGTAGTGCATTTGTCCCGATAGCCAAACAAATAGGTGGTTTCCTCTGCCATAGGCTGGCATCCACACTCCCTACAATGAGCTGGCAAGCGCAAACCACCTGAAGTCATTGATGAGGTTAAGCGTTCCCTTGGTCTCACATTCATGCACCGCCTGGTTTGTCTTATACGATTCCCCCCGCATGACAATGGGCTCCTTATATGCAACATGATTTACATTGAACATATCTATTTTTTTCTCTTGTCCGATGGGCTAGGGGCTCCATGGTATCAATATGTTTCTTTAATTATTCTTTCCTCAGCCATAATTATTCTTTCCTCGTGCCGTTGGCAGAGGACACCACTTGTTTGTTTGGTCATGCTGCTGTAGTAAAATGCGTGAACTGCATTACCGCTTCTGTAAATGCATGTGACCTTGTTTTGTTGTGCGCTACAATATTGGCGTTACATTTAGGGCAAATGCCAGGTACAATTTTGAAAGGACAAAGCTTTGCTTTCTCAGGTTCTTGCTTACTGACCCACAAAATGAACGATTCCAATGGGAATCGCTGGGCTATCTCAGAATATGTGTGGTGCAGCTGAGACAAGGAAGAAAAATTGTCTTAAGGAGCATAATTTATCAATTAAGGAGGGTGTGAGCCCACACCTCTGTGGTGTGGGTACACGCCCGTGGTGCTTCGTGTGGCTGCGCACCACTGTTTGTAGAAACTCGTGTAATAGGCAGGAGCAAGCAAACGACTTGTGAAGTACTTAAGGCATATTGCATGCAAAAGAAGGCGGACGGATGTGTCAGTGTCTCTTCCATCTCTTTGTACAAGAGCCAATACGTGTTTTTAGATAGCGGCTGTGTGGTAGTTCACTTGTTATGCTATGCAGCAGTTAGCTTGCGCTGCTCTGCTCCCTTCGGGTGCATATTGCAAAACATATGTCTTTGCTTGGTGTGCGGAAAATAAACTAGTTGAAAGTCTAGCACCCTATTGGGTCTTTTCTTGTTTTCTTCTTCCTCGTCTCAGTTCCACCACAGACATTTCATTAAGCTATGCACCAAGTCATCCAACGTTACACTCTGCTAAAGGATATTTCTTCCACAGTGGGCCCATTTATATCCACTCTGCTAAAGGAATCACTGAGAGTATCAATAATTGGGAAAGAAAACAAAACGAAGATGCAACTTTTATCAAATTAGACTAAACAACAACTAACGAAAGCTCAAAGACCCATGTCTTTACTAAACTTTCAGAAACACTTTTGATGAGGACGGTGCTTAACCACTACCCTCTCTGCATGCAGAGGCCGTCTAGTAGGCTCGTCGAACTGCAGGAGCGGGCACGCAAGCTCCTGGAAGAAGCCCGCCAGCCACCGGCCGGCCGCGAGGTCAGCCCGGGCTCACTCGAAGAGCGGCAGCACCAAGAGCAGCTGCGAGAGCGGGCACGGCGCATAATCGCTCAGGCCCGACAGGGGCACCACAACAACAACAACAACGTCAGCGAGCCCGGCACTCCCGTCACGCCCAGCGCCCAGACTGCGAACGGACTCAAGGAGTCCGCCGAGGACGGGGCCAGTCGGGATGACCTGAAGGCCGAGCAGACCGCTTCGTGGAGCGTACGACTCTCCGAGGGTGTGTGCTACTGACCTTTGTTCACGAAGTATTGGCTTATCCAGCTTGATGTTTCCTGTACTCTAAATCTTTCCAAATTTTTCGAGCAACACATTCTTTCCATAATTGTAGCAACGTGTGGGGTCGGACAAGTTCGTATTTTATATTTAAAACTGCTCAGCGCGAAAGTAGACACAACTACACAGAAAAGGTGAGGACATAGTCTAAGTCTGTGCTTGTCCTCGTACAAATGCCTGAGTTTGCCAGCTTTCGTGCTAAACAGTTTTAGGTTTCACGATTGTAAAGTTGGCTTTGCTGCAATGCAGTTAGCCCACCTAATAGCAGGCAGTTACTTGTACAAACTGTGGATTGAAATGCCGTTTGCGTGCCCCGTCACACAAAAATCTAGACTCAACTCTCTTGATATAAACATGCGTAATAGACAAGCCACAGTGCGTGCAACTATGACCTCCTCTCTCCTTAATCATGACTGAAGCCACCGTTGGCTGGGTTAATATGCAGCTCAGGGAATCGCACTTGTCGATTATGAAAAAGATATGTTGGTTTTTTTCTAAATGTGCGAAGGCAGTAATTTCAGGGACCCATGTGTAATCATATTGAACTTCGATATTTCCAACTATATTTTTCAACAGTATAAAGCAAATTTGTCAACAAGATGTCCTGGCTCTCCAAGAGAAGTCCCCCTGCTCATCTCCCGCTTAGCATCACTCCTGTGCACTCATCAGCGTGCAGCACCACCCTCTTTTTTTCCAAGTACTTTAACCATAAGAAACCGCAGTTTTGAGTAGTAGTGACAGTGAAAAGTAGCCTGTCACACTAACTTCGTTTTGTGTTTCATTAGTCAGATCTGTGCACGGACTTGTGATTGTGCTTCTTATTTATTAGTTTTGATACCTTTACAGTCCTAAAGGGCCCCTCACTTGGTTTGAAAATTTCGAACAGGAAAGTGCAGTGAAGATCACTCAGGGGTGTTCACATCTGCGAAATATCAAATGACTGCGTCGCTTTAAACCAATCAAAATTTCAAGCAGGGGGTCGTGCTCCCATTCTTTGAGAGAGCTGCTTTCAAACGAGAGTCCAAGTCATAAGCGCGTAAGTCCTATGATATCGACTTAATTTATAATCCCACCAGCCATGCTCCAATGCGGAACAGTCGTTTACAGCACCAAGTAAAACAGGCATCATGATACAGTGTCCTTATCGTCGTCACTGTTCTTCATAGATTATGAAGCACCAACCAAAAATAGTGATTATTGGTTGCAGTACTCGGCTGCTTACCCGAATGTCGCCGGTTCGATCCCGGCCAGGGCAGTCGCATTTAGATGGAGGCGATATGCTGGAGGTTCCATATACTGTGCTATGTCAGTACACGCGAAGCAACACAAGATGGTCAAAATTTCTGGAGCCCTCCTCTACGTCGTTCCTTAAAATTATATTATGGTGGTTTTGAGACCTGGAACTTACAGATATTACTTTTTAAAATAATGACTCATAACCAAATTATGAACAAAAGGATCACAGCATATCTATGGAGTGAATGAGAATGAGTGGGGGAAGCGTCCGTCAGTCCATCCGTGCTTCCGTCCGTCCATTTGTTCTTGCTCCTGTCTGTGCGTCCGTCCGTGCATCTATTCGTCCGTCCGTGCGTCTGTCTTTTCATCCATGGGTCTGTATGTCTGTTGGTGCATCTGTCTGTTCGTGCGCCTGTCCGCCCGTCCATGCGTCTGTCTGTCTGTCCATCTAGTGAACACTCCAAGTACCGCCATCACGTATCTTTTCATCATATAGTTATCATATACAAGTACCGCCATCCAGCAGACATTCTAAGGACTAAGCGAGAGGTGGCTACTACGACGACGACACGGGACGTGAGACTCACAGTGTAAGGAGCTTCGCCCCATAAAACCAAACCTAATCAAATCCTAAGATCATAAATCACTACTATTCCGATTGACTATCCTACTATTTGTAATACAGACTCTGCAGTGTATTACCGAAGATGTAGTGTGGAGCAAAACAGAATGAGGAGAAAAATGTAGGAGGCAGGGCTTCTGATGAAACGAGATGCATCAACTTCGGCGAATTGGACAAATGTGGGGAAGTGCGATGCTCATGGGTCTTGGCCTTGGCATGAGGCATTGTATCTCCTGGCAGCATAGCAACAGAACAGTGCGATTTTTTTGAACTCCTCCACAAACAAACTGATCAAAGAGTGTTTTTCAGGGAAGCACACCCTAGATAGCACCTTGCAACTTGTGGTATATTACCATAATTGGCAGCGCAGCCTGGTGAGGTGCCCTTGAAAAATGTGAAAGCAGTGCAAAAGATATGGACGAGTGTGAATTAGTACACAGTACAAGTAGAAGGAACAGGTGGCACTGGCACTGGAGTTGTTGCTAATGTCATTGCTATATGAATGGCACTGACGTCGTCTGAGAAGTTGGGAGCATACTGTAGTGAGCGCCTTATCAAATTATTTTGTACATCATTGCAAGAAATTTATGTGATTATCGTTAAGTTTTTTGGAGTGTACACTCAAACCTCCATATAATTAACCCGGAGATAACGAAATATTGGTTGTAACAAAGTAACTCGGAAATAGTTTTGCAATTGATACAGTTTCAGGAATGTACCTTTATAACGAGTTTTCGGATATAACAAACTTTTTTCGTGTAAGATTCAACTTTGTTGTAATGAGGTTTGAGTATTTACATTTTATACAGGTTTCATTAAATAACTATTGCAGACAAGATACAGAGTTATTGCAACGCATGCGAACATGTCAGTATTCATACGAAAGGGAAATAGCACAAGTGCTACTTTGTTGCTGGTGTAGGCTTTTTGTCATCGAATGAGTTGGCCGCAAATGTATAAAGGGCTTTTGGGGTGTCTGCGTCACGAGAGCGCAAGTGTGACATCTGCAGAGCACACAACGTGCGCACCAGCACAGCTGCCATCGTTCGCTCACTCGCACGCTCGTCTACTGTCTCTTGCACAGTTTTCGATTTTGAAGTCGTGTCCGTAGCACGCTTTTTGAAATGTTCCCGTAACGCCAGCACGAAATGCATGCTTGCTTGCTGCAACACTGCACTGGGAAAAAAATTGGTGAAGGTGGTTTGGGGACCGGGTGGAGGGAAACTGGTGATGTGCATGCTGAACTACGTGGTGGTGTGCTTCTCTAGGTAGCTCCTTGCGGCCTGCCAGGTTTCACCAGTTCCAGAAGAGGTGCATAGGCGGTGAGTAGAGAACGGTCTGCCTGCCTCCACTGCATGCACGTCCTCCGCATGTGTCTGCAAAACTACGGGCCGCATTCTGGAACAATCGGGCTTGGTGGTCTGAAGTTTTCTTCAGAGATTACTACACACAAATCTGGTGCTAGGTGCAAGTTGTGTATGTTTGGTGGTTTTAGCCAACATTCGTATGATTGTTATAGTGCAAAAACTCTTCTACATTATGAATTGGTATGCAAATCAAAATTATCTTCCTTACATTCAGCATTTGTTGTATATAAACCTTAAAGCTAACAAGTATATTTGAGGCATCTCATAGCAATACAGTCGACTGCCGATTTTTCGGACACCCGAACTTTCGAACATCTTCGCGGCACCGCCATGAGCCCCATAGAATCAATGTATAAGAAAATCTGAAATTTTGGACGCTCGAACCCCCCGGAGTCCAATTTTCCAGACTTTTTGACGCGATGGAAGGTCGGAAATCACCACAACTGCGTCACACGCAATTACGGTCGCATAAATGAGCGCACCGATCTACTGTGGTGGCATTTGTTGCTTGGACTCGTTGATCGTTAGCGGAGAAACACACACGGCCTCTGAGATTCCTAACACTGGCCGTGTTTATCGTGCAAGGGTGCTTCGCTGACAATTGAAACTATCCACCCGGAAATTTTTTGCTGCCAATAATGTTCCTTTTGCTTTAGCGCTTGTGCTCGTGCGTGCCACTCTGGCTTCCCACGCAGCGCTTTCGCGAAGCGTTTCACCACTTCGAACTATAACTAACCGTCACACACCGATTTGGTCTGGCCTCGCTGGCTACCTTGAGTGTTTACCAGCACCACCTCTGGATTACCTGAGGCACCGTCGCCTGCCGTCGCGCCGTTTTGTTTACGCAGCCCACATAGTGTTTGGCTAGCCTAGTGGGTGGTTGTGTGAGAGATGCTCTGCAACACTAAGCCTAGGTGCTTCGACGCTCGTCAGCAAACTCTTTTGTTCAGATCGTGAGGATTTCACTTGCCTGCGATGGCTTCCACTCCGTCTTCATCGTTCTCGCCGATGGCATCGAAGCGCGGAAAACAATACCGTCGATTAACGATAGAGAAGAAAGCCGCCTTTATTAAGTTAGTGAAGAGTGCCCGATCGCAGGCTGACGTGAGCAAGGAGTTCGGCATTTCCAAGCACAGTTTACGATTTCCTGAGGAACAAGGACAAGATCTTGAAAGCGGCTGAAAAACCGTCTGGTGCCCAAAAGATGAATGCAAGCCAAGGTGTTCATCCAAAGCTTGTGGACGCTCTCGTCGTGTGGCTTAATTCAATGATTGCCAAGCAGTTGCCAGTTTCGGGCTGCATCTTGAAACAGAAAGCGGAAACTCTCACGCTTCGTATGGACATCACGGATTTCAAGTTCAGTGATGGATGGCTGAGAAACTTTAAGCATCGGAATGGCCTTAAGTTCAAGAAGGTGTGTGGCGAAAGCGGCGCCGTCGACAGTGCAGTTATTGCGCAGTACCGCAGCGGAAAACTCCAGTCTTTGTTGCAGCTATTCTCTGCTGACATTTTCAACTGCGACTAAACTGGCTTGTTTTACAAGATGCTGCCAGAAAGAACACTCGCTTTTGCTGGTGATGCATGCCATGGTGGCAAGCATAGCAAAGAACGGCTGATCGTTCTTGTCGGTAGCAATATGTCTGGCAGCGAGAAACTTCCTTTGTTAGTAATGGGGAAGTCCAAGAGTTCGAGGTGTTTTAAAGGGGCAATGCTGCCAGTGTTATATGAAGCCAACAAAAAGGCATGGGTAACGCAGCAGTTGTTCGAGAGTTACGTCCTTAGGTTGGACAGGAAGTTTGAACAACGGAACAGACGTGTTCTGATCTTTGTTGACAACTGCGCTGCTCATGGTCACATTAATAACTTGAAGGCTATCCAGCTGGAATTCATGCCGCCCAACACGACTGCGATCCTCCAACCGATGGACCAAGGTGTTATCCGTAATTTGAAACTTTTTTACCGTTCACGTATACTCAACCGCATGGTGCTGTGCTCAGAAAACGGGAATGGCTACAGCGTTGACCTTTAGTCTGCTGTCAGAATGCTTGCGGACGCATGGAAGGCAGTAACACAAGACACGCTTTGTAACTGCTTTCGCCACGCGGGCTTCGTACTCGACACAGAGGCAGCAGACTTGCCTGAAGAAAGCGACAGTCTGACTGACTTGTGCCCTCTCGTGGACGATATTATCAACTACCTCCGCTCTGCTGGTGCTTCCATGCCCACAGAAATAACGTTTGAGTGGTTCGTCGATGCTGACAACGAGCTCGACTTCTGCGCAGAGCTAACCGACAACGAAATGGTCGGTCAGGTTATGGCCGATTCAGACGACTCCGATGTCGAAAAAGAGGAACTAACGCCTGCGCCACCTACTACCGCCGAATCGATGCGAGCATTGATGACGCTGTCATCGGTGTACAGCGATGACATGACCCTTGCTCAGATCGAGGCGAATGTGATCACATGCAAGCGGAACGCTGTTCAAACAAGGATCAACAAGTTTTTCAAGCCACTGCAGCTCTAACACCGGCTGCCCTGACGGCACCCTCTGTCGGCTGCATGCATTCTTTTTTAACGGCTCTTTTCAGAGCCACCCCACAGAGTCGGCTGCATGCATTCTTTTTTAACGGCTCTTTTCAGAGCCACCCCACAGAGCCACCCCACTGATGCTTTGGCAGAGTTCCGGAAGTCTGGTAATTCGACCTTGACCCTCTTGATCCGAGAAATATCAATGAAATGGTGCGTTTTTTGCTTGCACTGAGAAATATTAGCAAACTGGTGCGTTTTTTTTGCTTGCATTGAAAATTATCAGTAAACTAATGAGTTTTTTTTTCGCTTGCATTCATTTTTTCGGGCTGCCCGAATTTTCGAATGGTTTTTCGCTCCCTAGAGGGTCCGAAAAATTGGCAGTTGACTGTAACTGTGCGTCTATTGCAAAAAGTACACATAATTTCTGTGTAACTCTATGGGGTATATGTAAGTCTAATACAAGGTCAATTAAATTTCAATAAAAGCCGTGTAAGAAACATATGGAAATATGGATTGAAATGTGTACAGAGCATTCCCCTGTTCTCCGACCTTCAAGTAGATCGAAGTTGTTGCGAGGGTCATCGTGAGACGACCAGCGGTTGCATTGCCTGCAAAGTCAGTTGCATATTAGAGTGAGCTCCCTATAAAAATGTTTGCTCCCACTTTTGAGTTGAAATGATCTGCCTTATATATTCGACGTTTGTTGTGTGTACACACAGAGGCAAACAGACGTATATGGTACGTCATTTGCCCCACAGAAATAGTCATCGGCTCGCTTGCTTGCATTACCACTCTTAAAAGCTATGTACTGGCTAATTTCTTATCTGTAATGCAATGTCACGCTGAAACTAGAATGCTTTGTCACAATGAAATTGGCACGCCAATCGCGTCTAAGAAGTACCGAGGGATGGCGGTAATGCAAAGAAGCAATTGTTTTTTTTTGAGCAACAATTATTGTTAAAAGAAACATTTATTGTTGTATGGCAAATGTTCCTTTTTTGTCAGAGAGTGCATTTAGTTTTTATATCCTGATATTTTACCAGTGTCACGCTGCTCTGCATTGAGAAAATCGTTAACCAGTGATAAAGAAACCACTAAGAAACCAAAACAATTCACGTGTGATGGTGGGACTGAATTGTGATTTCGTGCGTCAAAACTTTGAAAATTTCGATATCATGATTTTTATCGAATCTACTTGAAATCGGACACCTCATTGCCTTCCCAGAGTATTTTGATGGTCAGGACATCCTGTAGGATCAGTAAACAGGAAAGCTTGAAGCTGAAAAAAGTGCTTCCTGTCAGATTGGTGGGCCAACAGCTCAGATAATGTGGCTGACGTGATTGTTCCAGAATGCACTTCTTATCATTGCATGCTGAAACACCTGCCTGAGCCAGTATCGAGAACAACAGAACGGTCACTAAACTGGAACATGGATATTGGCATCATGCACATCTTACAGCTTTCGTACGACGAAGTCGTTTATATTTACACAGCAGCCATTTGTGTACATCTTCAAGTAAGCAATGACCTGTGGCCTGCAGGAGGTGTCAGTGTTCATTGCTGCTGTACATCATCTCACGTTGGCAACATTCCAGTACACTTGAATCAAAATTAAGGGATCAAATGTGCACTCCTTCACACGCTAAGCTAGAGTGTGAGATATTGCATTTGACTCATTAAAAATATGTTGAATATGATTGTGATATTCGAGGTGTGTCTGAGTTCCTTGCCAAGTAATCGCATGATTCAGTGCCGTTGCCGTGTCCCCTCTCAGCCCAGCCACTACCGCAGTCTACCTGATTGTCACATCCTGCCTGATTTTTCTTGCCCCTACCATAGGAATCTGCATAGTATGTCAAATCTGCAGAGCGTCTTCTAGTAGACACAGAAGACTTTTCCACTGTAAGTCTGACTGGTAAGATTACTATGGTCAAGTTCAAGGCAAAAGACCAGGTGATCAATGCATTTTTTTGGTGTGTCCACATCGTCAAAATTTCATCGTGAAACAAGCAATTTTTTTGTCTCTGATGCCTAGAAGCATATTGTCGATATGTCGTTGTGGAGGTGAAACCAACCGTAAGTTATTATTTTTTCATATTGCTAGACTGTAGGTATTCTTTATGAAGCACACTACTGTCCGTTCTTAAAAGGAACGTCTAGTTACTATTTCTGTCCTGTCTAGTTACTGTTACATCATAACGAACATGAAGTTGAAATTAGTTGACTGTTCCTGTCTTCCTCTGTAAAATTTACCACGTCATAATCTGCTCATCATCATTAAATATATTCTGTATTGGCGACAGTTGAAGGAAATACCAAAGCTGTATCATTTTACTTAAATGATGTTTATTTGAATACCAGCTTTTTGTTAATTTATTTTTTAACCAAAGCCTGCCTTGTGACCGAACAGTACAATATGCAACAGACACTGGTATAAAGACTGCTGCTGTTGCAGATAAATTGAATAAATTTTATAGCGTGTAGGAATTGTCGACTTTTGATGCTATGGGAGTGTCAACTTCATGCCAGATCTATGACACAATGTGTTGTCATGTGTAATTCTCATTCTGTTCAGAGTCTATTTGTTTCTTTAGCGAATCAGTCTCCATGCCATAAATATCGAGTCTACAGCTATCTAAAATGGCCAAAAAGGCTGTACAAAAGTGACAGGAATACATAATGCCTCACTCACGTTATCGTCTAACTATTACCTTATTTGATATCTTTAGGGAAAAAGAAGGACTACAGTAAGAGAAACAGATTCCTCACGCATACTAGCTTTTAGCTATGCTCTATTATTTAAACGTCTACCTTCGGCTTTTGCTTTGTCTTGTCAAAGTCCTCATTTCTCGCATTAACACTATGCCTCGAAGCAGATGCGACCTTGTGTTTCTATTCTTAGTTTGATGACAAGGGCATTAAATCAACCGATCACAATGTGTGATGGTTGGAGGCAGTGCAAAAATGTATGCGCATGCAAGTAGTGGCACACAGTTTGTGTTGTGTTAAGGGCCCCTAAACCCCCTCTGATATTTTCCCAAACATTTCAAGTAAACAAGCGGATCGCATGCAAAATGCCGTCACGATCAACGATGCCACACGCCGCCGCAGCGCTACAGGTAGCAGGCGCGCCACAATTTCGAAAAAACAATAGTTTCTCCTTTCTGGTCCGGCCATTCCCCCCATTGACATGTGTGACATCACCAGTGAAACTCGGTGACGTTGCCACTTTCGATGCTTGCGATTGGCCGAACGACAGCGTAGGATTTCCGGTCACTCTGCAAACAGTTGTTCGCACGCATCTTGTTGTTCTTGGTCATGTTGCCGCTTGCGAATGGACATCTGCGGTTGATAACGCAACACAGGGTCCATACTGGCACGATTCGTAGGGGCACGGACTGCCGCGATAGCAACAGCGGTTAGTCAACAATCAGTGCACCCAGATGACACACACAATACAGTTTACGGCGAGGTGGGTCATCGGAGTGGCGGATCGCAACATCCGGAAGTAGACGCTGTTTCGAACAGCACGTCAGGGGTGACGTATGCCACATGACATGAGGAGACGCACTCAGCTGACTCAGCGAGGAGGAGCCAAGTGGTTTCAGAGGAGGGTATCGTAGGAAAGAAGGAAAGAAGCGATCGTCGCGTTTCCATCACCAAACGCCTCTAACTCCGCTATTACGGCACTGCTTCCAAAAATTCTCACGGCTATGTTTTCTTTGTAACTTGAGCACAACTTCCTCACCTCAACTAAATTTCAACCGCTGGGTGGTTTAGGGGCCCTTTAATTGCCACACAAGCTTCGCTATTCGCCATGTGAAGACTACTTGTTGCTTTGCTAGTAAGATACGTTTCGGTCTCAGTCTGCACTCTTATGTGGGTGATGCTTTTTTCCAGGCTCTGAGGATTCTCAACGGTCTGAGGAATTGAGTCGAGATAGTGAGGTGAGTGTGTGTACCAGCTGCAGCAGCAGTGGACTTTGCTGTGAAAGTTTAGGTGGCACTATTTTAGTAGTGTAAATGCTGTATGGCATTCAATGTGATACGCATGTGAACTTCTTGAGATGAAGTCTTTATATTTATATATATATATATATATATATATATATATATATATATATATATATATATATATATATATATATATATATATATATATATATATATATATACTCAAACTTCTCTATAACAAAGTTGCATCTTACACAAAATTAAGTATGTTATGTCTGAAAATTTGTTATAACGATGTGTCACACTACAGTCGAACTCCGCTACAACGAACGCTGCTTCAACGAAATTTCCGCCACAACGAAAAATTCACGATTCCACGTCAGCAGCCCATAGGAGCCGATGCATAAATATTGTCGCCACAACGAACACTTTTTCTTCGATCTTCCCGCTTCAACGAAATTTTACGTTGCCATTCCAGGCTCAGTTGCTTATAGCTATGCAGTGAACCCAACCTTTAACATTTCTATGCATTTTCAGAGCCTGAAAATGTGTCAAGTCTAAAATACGTGTTGGCACCACCAAAACCGCCGCTATACCGCCGCTGTTTAACAAGCATGGACGCCGCCATTGCTCGATAACGATGGCAATGAGACCATAGAGCTATGATGAGACTGCCCTGCTTTTGCCACTGGCTTATTTTGAGCCGCTGACGATCCGAAGCTGAATCTCAGTCGCTCAGTTCGTGGTGTTCTTCACACAGCTGCTGCGTGCAACTGCGGATCGATGCTTTTTCTGATTCCGATGCTTATCATTACGTTCGCGCTTGGCCAGTGTGGTAACTAATCAGAGCGCCTGTTCGTCCACATTATCAACAAAATCAGCTAGCCGTTAGTGATGAATGATAAGAATGGCATTGAATAATGCAAAAGTCGCCGCTCCACGATACCCTGCCTTCATCTCGGCGTTGTCAGATACTTTTGTGTTAATGTAACTGTTTGGTTCGTTCACGAAGGCATTTTAGGCGTGTTTCAGCATCCTTTTCACCATTGCCTCGCTATGCATGAGTGAGAAGGATGTCGTGACATTGCTGGGAAAGAATAGGAAGCAGCAGACATTTTTTGAATTTTGAGAGTAAACGTTCCTTTGTTTTGCTAGCTCAGATCAACTATATATATATATATATATATTTTTATTTCACTACAACTTTTTCGCTTCCGCGAAATTTTTTCCGTGCCCCGTCAGTTTCGTTGTAGCAGGGTTCGACTGTATATCTATTGCAGGAGTATTCATTTCCTTTATTGTAACCAATATTTCTTTATATTTAGGCTCGAGTGTGGATATATGCATTAAGCTTGTGCAAACAATATTTTATAGTTTCAAGTCAAAGTGGTAATAATTATTTCAAAAATTTCAATAGATGGTGGCCTTTCGCACTTCCAGAAACTAGGCAAAATGACCACAGCATGCATTGTCTTGTTTTGGGCAATGCAAATGAGCCATGTATTCACACCAAGTAGCCCCTATAGCAGCTTTACCTGCTTTGTTTGAATAGAATAGTTCAAATAATATCAGATTCGCACGAAACTCTGAGACTAGTGCCCAATGTTTACAAATCTTTTTTTTAAAAGTTGGTTCATTACTTCCCCAAAGGAAAACAAGTTAATGTTTGTTGTCTTCTCAATTTCAAGACCGAGTTATTCACATCTTGTGCAAACATATGAGTTCGACGTTCGTTAGAACTCCAGCTGAGCACATGATTTATCTAAAGACTCATTTTTGCACTTATGCATGCAACATAACTTTCTTTTCACTTTGCTTACATTCTCACTTTTCAGTTTTCTTTTGTTGCACATTCAGCCTATTGCAAGAAAGGGGAAGATCATGAGCAAGGACTTTGCAGGCACCTGACTTTAGTGGTTTAAAAAAATAAATATTCGAGATACACAGTGCATCTAGCAACAGAGATAAGCAACCACCAGCACTTAAAGTGCAGGAGATGAGGAGACTTGGTTACAAGGGGCTATCAGTGTGAATCGAACTTCTTTTTGGTTATAGTGTGTGCACTTCAGGCAAATTATCATTTCACTAAACTGTCGTAGCATCGCGAAGGAGAAAAATCACCCGTTTCTTCGTTGCAGCTGTCTAGTACTTCACGGCGGCGGCAGACCTACGTAGAGCTGGAGTTGGAGGCTCTGGAGCGGGAGCGGCAACGGGTAGATGCCCAGGCCGAGCGCTTCGAGCCGTACCTGCGGCAAGTTATGAAGAGTGGTGAGTAGTCGCCTTCATAATTTCCAGCACTCTCGTGTTTTTCATTTACAACATGTAAGAGCCACGTGAATCATGGTTTCTTTCACACATTTCTTTTTGTTATGCTAACAAAATATTCCAAGTCTAAACGGTCCTGCCATGCACTTTCAAGCCGAATATTATTATTCTGCACAGTGCAGCAGGAACAAGCCTGCTCACCTTGCACTTTCAAACTCTTTCCCATTACTATGAAGGCTTCTTCGCTTATGTTTCACCTCTTTTGCTACAGGCCATTGTAGGTCATTTAAACTTAACATTAGGGAAATTTAGTTCATGTAGAAACATTTCAGCATTTGCTAATTGTAGACTCACTGGTAATTTGCAAACTGATAAAGTCCAAGTCCGGTTGCTGACAACTTGAATCCAGTTGCAAACTTCTTAGTGTTTTGCACTTTACTGGTTTACTGGAGGCCTAAGCACGACCGGCCGGCAAGGTGGCACCACCTGGCCATACAGAGCTCAACAGGATGAACACAGCAATTGTTGCAGACTCTAAAGTTACTGTTGCTACTGCACAGAACGCAGCTATTTGTTGCTACTCTGTTTGTGGTACAAACTTGCAACCGGGATCTAATCACAAACATGTTGGTTTTTCAAACCTTTCTTATGGGAACTACTGGTCGAACGCTTTGGAACTTTCAATCATTGCAGTTAGACGAATGCCAAAGCATGTCGATACAAGTGTCCAGTTTCCAGGTATTATGCCAATGTTATTACAGGCGCTAGAATGGAGGACGTGCCAAGACTCTTCAGTTTAGCGTGCCACCCTCATTTGCCTCCTTGACAAATCAGATGTGTAGGGTCCCGACCCATCAGTCGTAGATAATTTAATGTAAGAAATGTAGCTATTCTAACTTCAACATTTGTTTTGGCATTTACTTTTTTTAACCCATTCTGTGCATTCTAAAAACTTCATACTTTTCGTGCTAAATTATGGAAGGTTAATGTAATTCTTTACAAACCACTTGTTCTTCTTAAAATTATATGGAAGTCATACAGACTTACTGAAATACTATATGAAACGTTTCAATTGGGTTCATGCTGTGAATATCGCAAGGCTACTTCAAAAGCTTCTTGCGAGATGCTTGTTGAAAGTAGTTCATGTGATTGATCTTTGTGTGCAGGTGACCAGGAAGAAGAGGACCGCTGTATGCAAAAGTGGTTTGCCCTGGTCAACGAAAAGAATGCACTAATCCGACGGCAAATGCAACTTAATTTACTGTGAGTCTCTTCTTTAAATGTTATATTGTGAGCCATGCTGAAAGGGTTCCTAAACTGCCCAGAGGTCGTAGTTGAGTTCCTTCTTGCATTTGTGCACAAGCCCGCAGCAGATGTTGTCTCGAGAATTTTTCAAAGTGGAGCCCTAATATCAGAGTTACGCTTGTTTGTTAATTGGAATGCAGCTGCAGCTCGTTTTGCTCTTTCCTTCGTTATGCACCGTTCACATGCGCCCTCCCCCTGGTTCAGCATTCCTCCTCTCTATGCAAGGAAGATAAGCATGGAGTGTGTAAGCCTGCCAGTAGACAACCACTCTTTCTGCTGCCGACGTGGCCTGGTTCTCCTGGTGACCTCGTGGCCATTCCGGGTATAATTGATTGATTGATATGTGGGGTTTAATGTCCCAAAACCATCATATGATTTTGAGAGACACCATAGTTGAGGGCTCCGTAAATTTCAACCATCTGGGGTTCTTTAACGTGCACCCAAATTGCAGCACACGGGTCTACAGCATTTTCCCCTTCATCGAAAATGCAGCCGCCGCAGCTGCGATTCGATACCGCGACCTGCGGGTCAGCAGTGGAGTACCTTAGCCACTAGACCACCGCGGCGAGGCAGTGCTGGGGATACACTCGGTCCTCATTATAACGAAGCTGCATCTTACACAAAAATGTTTTTTATAACCAAAAATGTGTTATTAAGGTATATTCCTAACACTATATCAATTACCCGACCATTATTTACTTACTTCGTTATAGCTGATATTTTGTTACATCTGGGTTCGTTATATTGAGGTTTCAGTGTACTGAAAGGCCTCGAAAGGGGCATGCGACTTTGTGTATGGGTGTGTGTGCGTTGTGTGACACACTAGCGCTGCTGCATTTAGCACTATTCTCAAACGACACTCTGAAATAAATCTATTCGTTCACTAGAAATGTTAAAATAAAATTTCGTAGGTGGTTCTAGGGCCACTTAAAGCCACTGCGATAACAAGCCCACCAGGCTGTTAGTCTAAGGGTCTTAAGAGACACTTAGCTGTAACTGTTCTCTTCAAAAAATTAAGGTTTCGCTGTGTTGCCATGAAATTTCTGCAATTAACTACAGGCCCACAATTGCGGGAAAAGATTATTAGTGGAGACTACCACATGCCTCCACTAAAGGTCTTGAACTAAAATTTTTTGGCAGCAGCTAACTGTGCATGTTTGCACTTAAACATGCAAGCTTGAAAGATTGCATAATGTATGCCTTCAAAATCTGGATCGAGCTCTGATATTGTGATAGGTTACACTTCTACAAGAAGTTTCTTCTTTGAAGCTTTTCCTGTTGTTGTACGGGCCTCAGAGATGTGTGCTAGGCTGCCATTTCAACTCTCGGTAATTATGCTGGTCACAAGCATTTGTTCATGTCATCCTGCCTGAAACTGCTTGTTCATGATCTCACAAATTACGCAAAAAAGTAAAGAACAGGAAGGAGGAAAAAAGTGGGATGAAGCTGCATGATAATATCGGAGGCAGTAGTCATCATTCACTGTATACAAGCTAGGTGACGCTTCTAGCAAACTTCGAGTTTTCACCAATTGCATAGTAAGTATAGACCACTTATAAGGTAAGTTGCGGGAGTCGCGAATATTGGCACGATAAGCAGTACCGCACAATACCTGAGGCAGTAGTCATCAATCACTGTGTACAAGCTAGGCCGCGCTCGTAGCAAACACAGAAGTTTCACCAATTGCAAGGTAAGTATAGACCCCTTATTACATAAGTTGCGAGTATTCGCATGATAAGTGGCACAGCACAATAACCAGAGGCAGTAGTCATCAATCACTGTGTACAAGCTAGGTGGCGCTAGTAGCAAACACAGAAGTTTCACCGATCGCAAGGTGAGTATAGACTGCTTATAGCGTAAGTCGGGAATATTCGCACGATAGGCGGTACCGAACAGTAACCAGAGGCAGTAGTCACCATTCACTGTGTACAAGCTAGCTGTTGCTTCTAGCAAACTCAGAGGTTTCACCAATTGCATAGTAAGTATAGACCACTTATAACGTAAGTCGCGGGAGTCGCGAATATCTGCACGATAAGCGGTACCGCACAATAACTGGAGGCAGTAGTCATCAATCACTGTGTACAAGCTAGATGGCGTTGGTAGCAAACAAGTTTCACCAACTGCAAGGTAACTATAGACTGCTTATTACGTAAGTCGGTGTTATCGCATGATAAGCGATACCGCACAATAACCAGAGGCAGTAGTCATCAATCACTGTACAAGCTAGGTGGCGCTAGTAGCAAACACAGAAGTTTCACCGATCGCAAGGTGAGTATAGATGCTTATAGCGTAAGTCGGGAATATTCGCACGATAGGCGGTACCGAACAGTAACCAGAGGCAGTAGTCACCATTCACTGTGTACAAGCTAGCTGTTGCTTCTAGCAAACTCAGAGGTTTCACCAATTGCATAGTAAGTATAGACCACTTATAACGTAAGTCGCGGGAGTCGCGAATATCTGCACGATAAGCGGTACCGCACAATAACTGGAGGCAGTAGTCATCAATCACTGTGTACAAGCTAGATGGCGTTGGTAGCAAACAAGTTTCACCAACTGCAAGGTAACTATAGACTGCTTATTACGTAAGTCGGTGTTATCGCATGATAAGCGATACCGCACAATAACAAGAGACTGTAGTCATCAATCACTGTGTACAAGCTAGGCCGCGCTCGTAGCAAACACAGAAGTTTCACCAATTGCAAGGTAAGTATAGACTCCTTATTACATAGGTGGCAAGTATTCGAATGATAACTGGTACGGCACAATAACCAGAGGCAGTAGTCATAAATGTCTGTGTACAAGCTAGGTGGCGCTAGTAGCAAACACAGAAGTTTCACCGATCGCAAGGTGAGTATAGACTGCTTATTACATAAGCCGCGAGTATTCGCATGATGAGCAGTACAGCACAGTAACCAGAGGCAGTAGTCATCAATCACTGTGTACAAGCTAGGTGGCGCTAGTAGCAAACACAGAAGTTTCACCAATTGCAAGGTAAGGATAGACTCCTTATTACATAGGCCGCGAGTATTCGCATGATAAGTGGTACAGCACAGTAACCAGAGGCAGTAACCAATCACAGTGACAAGCTAGGTGGCGCTGGTAGCAAACACAGAAGTTTCACCATTTGCAAGGTAAGGATAGACTGCTTATTACATAAGCCGCGAGTATTCGCATGATAAGCGGTACAGCACAATAACCAGAGGCAGTAGTCATCAATCACTGTGTACAAGCTAGGTGGCACTAGTAGCAAACACAGAAGTTTCACCAATCGCAAGGTAAGTATAGGCTGCTTATAGCGTAAGTCGGGATTATCCGCATCATAGGCGGTACCCCACAGTAACCAGAGGCAGTAGTCACCATTCACTGTGTACAAGCGAAATGGCGCTAGTAGCAAACACAGAAATTTCACCAATTGCAAGGTAAGTATAGGCTGCTTGTAACGTAAGTGGCGAATGTCCGCACGATAAGCGGTACCGCACAATAACCAGAAGCAGTAGTCATCAATCACTGTGTACAAGCTAGGTGGCGCTAGTAGCAAACACAGAAGTTTCACCAATTGCAAGGTAAGTATAGAGTGCTTATAGCATAAGTCGGGAATATCCAGGCGATAAGCAGTACCGCACAATAACCAGATGCAGTAGTCATCATTCAATGTGTATAAGCTAGGTGCTGCTTCTAGCAAACTCAGAAGTTTACCAAATGCATGGTAAATGTAGACCACTTATAATGTAAGCCGCGAGAGTCTCGAATATTTGCACGATAAGCAGTACCGCACAATAACAAGAGGCAGTAGTCATCAACCACTGTGTACAAGCTAGGTGACGCTAGTAGCAAACACAGAAGTTTCACCTATTGCAAGGTAAGTATAGACTGCTTATAACGGAGGTTAGGAATATCCACACGATGAGCGGTACTGCACAATAGGCAGTAGTCGTCATTCACTGTGTACAAGCGAGGTGGCGCTGGTAGCAAACAGTGATATTTTAAGAATTTCAAGCTATGCATACACTGCTCATAGCATAAGTCGCGAAGTTGCGAATATCTGCATGATAAGTGGTACTGCACAATAACAAGAGATAGTAGTCATCAATCACTGTGTACAAGCTAGGCGGCGCTAGTAGAAAACACAGATGTTTCACCAATTGCAAAGTAAGTAAAGACTCCTTATTACATAAGTCGCGAGTATTCGCATGATAAGCGGTACCGCACAATAACCAGAGACAGTAGTCATCAATTACTGTTTACAAGCTAGGTGGCACTTGTAACGTTTCACCAATTGGCATAGTAAATATGGACTGCTTATAACGTAAGTCGAGAATATCCGCATGACAAGTGGTACCGCGCTATAACCAAAATAACTTTTTGTCAAAGGCCGCCAAACTCAACATCGAATGTGAAAAATATCGCACTCAAACACTGAACTAAACAGCGAACATGATGCAAAGTTTGCGTTCGCGGCTGGGACATCAACGACAAAAACTTGGCAAGCTTATGTAAGACCGCAGACTGGCAGCAAAGGTGAAAGTGGCGCATGAAGCCAAACGACTTTTAAATTTACAGGCTAGCTAGTAAATTCAATATCTGTAGCAAGCTCAATAACGACAGCGCATTTCCCAATAAGAAACTAGGACCATATGCAAATTCCAAGTTGGTGAGGACGGGATCACACGTGCCATATCGAGCCACGCGTGGTGGGCGCCAGTGCAAAGGCCTACCCTTCGCCTAGACAACCGCCCTCCTCCCTCACTCGGCTATCCCATGCAGCATGCTATGATCCTTCTTTACTTATTTCCTTCGCTCTTTCCTCCCTACGCACTTTGTTCGTTCTCTCTGCGTCCATTCCTCCTTCGTAACAACCTCGTCGCTCGCTCCCCAGCGGCACACCCAGCGCACCTTCTTTCAGAAGCACATTCGCTGCCACATACGTCACAATAATTTTCCACGGGCAACCACATTAT